TATAATCCATATTCCCAAAATCTGAAGTGACGTGGATTTTCTTCAGATTTTGGGAATATGGATTATAATGTGCTGCCCCTCTCCATCAGTTGACTGCAACAAACATAAAAAAACTTAATTCTTTACTACAAGATTAACCTGTTTTTTTGGGATCATATGAAAACCAAGGACATCTATGTGATTGAAACAACTGTTGTCAAGGTAACGCTGTTTTAAAACATTGATTTGCTTCAGACCTAAGTTACATCTCCTGCAAATTCACCTAAAAGCATATCGGTAGCTATATATATCGCAATAATGCAAAGTTATGCATATTTTAAACATACCAAGGACTGAATGCAAACATTTATGGTTTAGAATCTTAACCCTTTAAAACCAAGTGTATCATATTTAAAACATGCATTTCTGAGATCACTTAATCGTCATGGTGATATTTTGGTTCTTGAAAACCCGGACTTACACAATCAGACACGTGTAGTGAACAGAAAACATATAAAATATTATACAAAAATGCTTGATGTATAAAAATTGATGCAAATAAATGATCTATTTATATTTTACAAAATGTATTTATTTCATTTTTCAGAAAGTTCAATGAAAACTGTAATTAGAAAAAAAACTATTTAATTGTCTGTCAATTATTTCATGGTCCAGGCTTTAAAGGGTTATGCCTAATTTAACTAATTTCTATAACAATACTTATAAATACGTATATTGAGTACTTTACAATTCGTATTTTCAACTCAACAGTTTGCTTTGAAAGTACTAATTAATTTACAATTAAGTACAAAAACAGAAAAAAAAATCTGACTTTAAATTAGAGGTGGAACCAAATTAAAGATTTAAACTGTGTAAATTACAAGGTCTGTGTAATTTATCGCATTTTAACCAAAAACTATATATTAAAAAAAAACAAAAAACTTTTCAATTAAAAAAAAACTTCAAAACCTATGAGCAAAGAATTGTTTTCGAGCTATCAGGTTTTTAGAAAACCTTGATATTATATGCAAAACAAATCTACTAAAGAAGTGTTAACAATTAACAGTAATTAAAGCACAATTCCTTTTATTGAATATGTTAAAGAAAATATAAAGCAACAAGGAATGCAATATTACATTTAAGAAACTTAAAGATCAATCAATTAATGTTGTAACCAACTTAATTAGTTTACTATCAGTGGCAGCAAACTAATTGGCTCAATGCACAACTCCACTCCTTCCTGAATTTAAGGCAGCTCTTCTGTTTCCTGTCTTTTTCTTCTTAATGAACTGATTAATCCAGGTGTGCCTAAACTCAGTAACCATGGCCAGACACACCTGGATTTATCAGTTAGACCCAGCAATGAAAGATAGGAAACAAAAGAGTTGCCTTAAGTTCAGGAAGTAGTGGAGCTGTGCATAGAGCCGTTTGGATATGACTCTTGTTCTTCGGGTTGAGGTTCTAATTAGTGTTGCGCCGATGCAGTTTTTTGGCCCCGATACCTGGGTTTGCAGTATTGGCCAATACCGATACCATCTGTTTGAAATGGATGTGTGTGTATATATCAAGAACTACATACTACTTGGGTGTAAAATAATTGCCATCATGGCTTTTTTAAGCTGCTGCCTACCTTTGTGAAGCAGGAAAAAGACGAAGTGAATCCAGTAGAACTTTTTATTGCCTATCTGGAATAGGTGACAATAGTTAAATAATCTTTTGGTTCTCAAAATGGTATCAGTGCCGTATTTGTTGGTACTCGCCGATACCCCTACCACCATTTTAGTGCTGCATTGGGAACCTGTCCGATAGTGGTATCGGTGCAACATTAGTTCAATTCAGTTCAGTTTATTTCTACAGCGCCAATTCACAACACAAGTCATCTCAAGGCACTTTACAGTTCAACCAGATCATACAGTCAAATTGATTCAAAGTTTTCTATCTAAGGAAAACCAGTTGATTGCATTGACTCAAATGCAATCCCTCACACTAAGCATGCTTGTAGCGACAGTGGAGAGGAAAAACTCCCTTTTAACAGGAAGAAACCTCCAGCAGAACCAGGCTCAGTGTGAGCGGCCATCTGCCGAGGCAGACTGGGGTTCAAGGAGACAGAAGCAGAGACACAAGAAGCAGCTGTAAAAGGCGGCCCGGTCCAGGAAACACACAGCCAGGCAGACGAGCTCTGAGCCAGCTCCCATGCCAGAGGATGAAGAGAGCACATCCAGCCAGTCACGGTCAGAGAAACAGGACCACACTGGAAAACAGGCTGATCTCCAGCATCTAAAAACAAGGGTGTTGATGGCAGCAGCACAGCTGATATTTCTCTCCTGGATGGGGTCACAGCCAAACAGGGACAGACGAGGCAAATCTACTATGAGAAAAAGCAGAGAGAGCAGAAGGTTAGAGATTGAACTAACAGATTCTGCAGAATAGGAGAATAGGGAGAGAATGAAGCAGAATGATGAAATGGGGGTCTCTATGTCCTCCAGAAGTCTAAACCTATAGCAGCATAACTATAGAGAAAGCTCAGGATAGTTCTAATGTAAATAAAGTCACGCACGTTAGGTAGCCCACCTGAGTGTTACGTTTGTAGAGGACACCTGGGGAATTACGTCCCATCTCCTGGGACCCTCGCTGAGAAGTTTGGAGTGTTTGGTGTGACTGGCTGTCATTCAGGGATTGTTTTTTTTAAGTCTGAATACTTTCAATGAGCCAACAATTGTGATGCTGCTCATGCATCAGATTTCCAGAGAATACAATAGGTTTCTCTTCAGGATTATAGTATGTCTAAAAAAACACATTTGACACATTAAAATTTGTACAATTATCTAATCATAATTAACTCATTAAATTCCCGGCCTTACTATATATACATTCAAAGATTTAGGTCTTGCCCTGTCAGTTTGCTGTTTTTGTGAAAACAGACCAATGTTCTGTCCAATGAGAATACTGCTTTATTTGATGTGTATTTTATGTTTTTATATACGTCTTTGTATCAAACTTAAGATACAAATTTGAACATGTCAGAGACACCAATGTTGTGAGTCAAAGTTATATTATTTTTGCAGGTGAAGAATTGTTTAATTATTGGGATACCAAACATCCATGTTGTTTTTGTCTGAAAGTGTAATATTTTTTATCTCAATAAGCTGAGGAAGGTCTTGATCTTCAGTAGTTTAGAGGAAGTTAAACCAGAAAAAGATATAAGTGTGTCTCTATATGTAATTTATTTGCTACAGTGAACGGATGAGCGTAAAGAAGATCGCAGCTTTACTGTTATTCTCAGAAGTCTCAGTGAGAAAAATGAGTGGGCTATGAATTCAGAGAAATAGTGTTCGTCAATGTGCACTAAATTTGTGGTGTGAGGAAAATGAGTGTAGAACTGTGCAGTTTGCAGATGATTTCCAGATGTTAGCTAATGACTGCTAACACTGTGACGGCAGAGCTGTAAAGTTTGCTACGGCGGATCAGAGTATAAAGAAACAAAAGTATAGATGACATTTTATGTCCGAACTGGACTCCAGATCTTTTCCTACTAAAGAATCCGCTGGTGGATTGTTATTACTCTTTATAATAAAGTAATTCTGCATGTTATGAGACCAGAGTCATCAGAGCAACAAAAAAAAGAGTTAATAGTAGGTAAATTAGAGATTAGCATTTTTAATTAATATAATAAAAGACTAATACATGTCTAAGTCACTCAGGTCTCTCTTCCTACTGGCTAATTCATGTTCTGATAGCCTAATGCTAATAGAGACACTCTGTAGGTTTTTACACAGACATTTTACTGGCTTTAACGTCCGATTTGAAATACTGTCCTTCTTCAAAACATATATTTCTTGTGTGAAATGAATATAAAACAGCCATATTTATTATTTTGTGTAGAAAGGTCTCACTTAAGCCTGGTAAGCTATGATAGCGGCTAAAGGCCTGAAAGCTAGCTCTGACTATTTGGTTTATGGTGTAAGTAATTTCTAAGATAAATTTACCAAATAACCAAATAATTGTTTAGAAAAAATTGCTTATACATTTAGATAAACCCTAAATCAAAGTCTAGGTCTTTAATATGGGAATCGACGTCCCCTATTAGGTCATTGAGGTACTGGGAGGTTCATGAAACGTTTCCCCTGCCAACAGCTCTAGGCCTTTGATTCATCACACATAAATCCTAACATTTGTAATATTGTTTAAACTAGTTGAAAATACTTTGTCTTTGTCACCTTTACACGGGTAAAACAAGGTCTCATTAAGGACTAATAACTGCGGAGGTATTTTTCATTTATTCTGTTGTTAAAGAAAGTAGTTCTAAAGCTCTCCGTACTTAAATTTAGTGCAACATGACACTGTAATCGCAATATATAATATATAATCGCCAGAGATGGCAAAAGTA